GGGGGGGGGGGGGGCGAGCGCGGGGAGTTATTGTTCGCGGCTTTTATTTCCCGGAAATACGCGCGAACATAACTTACACGTAGTGAGTATCATGTACGGAGAACGATATCCTCGATTATTTATCGTCCTACCCGACGACCTCGCGCGTAATACAAGAAAGTAGGATGAACAGCAGCAGGGTCGTATTGTAGCGCGCGTGATTGTGCGCGCGGCTCGCGCAAGTGCGTGGCGTAAAACGCTTACGTGGTCGATGCGTCGCCCGTCGATGCTAGCGCAGCGCACTCGGAAGACGCAGCGCACGTCCGGGTCGTCGTGCTCGCAATTCCGCCGTGGGTTCGATTCTCGATGCGCTGCAGGCCGCAGATTTCCGTAATATCCATTCTCGGGATTATCAATTTTAATTAAACCGTATTCGTCCGCGCCACTGGCGAAAAACGGGCCGGGTGTCGTTCGTTTATTCGTCCACTCGTGCACGCGCGCGCACAGCATTAGGGCGAATTAAAACTAACGCGAAATAATCTTGAGAGTTGCCGTCATTACGGACCAGTGCATTTTTATCGGTTTTATCCGCATCCGCATCCGTGGTCGTCATCAGTCGCCGTTCGCCTCGCCCGATGAACTCGACCGTAATTACTCGTCACTCGCTACGCTCCCAATTTAGATTCTGACTCTTCGTCAGGAATAGAAATAACTTTAATTATTATTGCACCTACGTACTTCACTCCGCCTCTCTCTCTCTCCCTTTCTCTCTCTCTCTCTCTCTCTCTCTCTCTCTCTCTCTCTCTCTCTCTCCCCTTGTCCATTAAATAACATCGGCGAACGAGCGAATGTTTGTGTGTCGTTCATGTGGGACGATGAGTATCGTCGTGCGGGACGACACATTTATACGTCGAGAATTTAAATTCATACCGGACACTTTGCGTATACCGTTTCCGAATAAACTAATTACGTATCCGCGCGTGTCTCCTGATCGAATTAGCCGCGCCCGATGCGCGAGACTAGAATTTCCTGCAATAAATGCACCATGTCGCAAGTAAATCACTAACGCGCGCCGCGTGTTCGCGTGAGAGCAAGAGTGAATGCGCTAGAAACAGAGAGAGAGAGAGAGAGAAAGCCCGCGCGCGCCTTTCACGATGCGCGCGAGTAAATGATCCTTTCGGAGGTCCTGTTTACGCTGCAGTAAACTTGAAAGGTGTGCCCAGAATTACTACCGAAACGAGATTTTAGCCCTACTTTGGACCTGAACATCTAACATCCGTATATTCCGAAGGATCAATCGAAATTTTGACTCTATCTTTAGCTTTACTATTCTATTCGACACCTATTGTGATACACTGAAACTTATACATCAATCTCTTTGATCCTATTTAACCTATTCGAGTCAAAATTTTGATCCTACTTTCAGCCTCATTATTCAACATCTATTTTGATATTCTGAAGTCTATAATACAATCTATTTTGACACGTGTGCCGCGTCTCTTTCCCGGCTAACATGCGCGTATTATCGGAAGGCATAAAGAGAGAAGATCGATGGCTGCGTTTCGCCGCCCGAGGTCGCTTCTCGCAGGTTCCGCTGAAATGCACCTGATTGTACGACGGACCCGAGCGCGAAAGAAATTTACAGCAGAAGGTAGAGCCAGAGGAAGAGGAGGAGAAGAAGGAGGGCGGTAGGAGCGGGTTAATCGCGAGAAGAAGTTCGCGAACTCTCGCGCGGCCGTCAATTTCTCTTTTCATCCTGCGCCCCCTCCGTCTTTACATTTGTCAGAGCTGGCCGCATCCGGGTGTGAGGTATACAGGGTGTCTGAATTTAGATGTCTGAGCGCGCAGGTAAAAAACGTTGAGCAAAGTAAAAAATGCTATGTCAATTTGCAAGGAAGCACGATCATGTTCGAGATTTTAATTCAACAGAATTGGTCGATTTATGCGCGGAATGCGGTGAGACGAGCTCTGTAGAGCAGACTTATGAGACATCTCTTGGTCTTATTGACTGTTTGTCAACAACAGTGTAAATCTGATGACAGGTTAACGGAGTAACATCGCAAACAGCAAGTCCTGCGTTACACGCAGTATCTTCGGCTGAACGGTTATATTTACTGAGATAAGTTCAAGACGTGCCTCTTTGAGTTGTTTACAAAGCTCGCCTTACTGCTTCGTGTGTATCGATTGGCCACACAATTTCCCTTAATTAAAATCCCAAAGATAATCGTGGATATTTGCGGAGACATTTTCTACCATTCAATTTAACAAGTTCTTGCTATACACGAGCGGGTCAGACGCTTATAAATCCAGACACCCTATATATATATATATATATATATATATATATATATATATATATATATACACACATATATATACATGTATATATATATACATATATATACACCATGGAATTCTTCTAATCGAACGGGGGCAGTCACATCCTGGCCAGGGAGCAGGGAGAAACGGAAACAACGACGACGCAATCTCATTCCGAATTCATAGAGAAAACGCGATCGCGCGAATGAATAGCGGCTAATTAATAACCGACTGGCGCTCGCGTTTGTTTAACATCTTAATTACGGCCATTCGGCGTGGCTCGTGGAATTATCGTTCGCTGATCATCGCAGCGGATCGCAAATTTATCGTCAAGCCGCCATATTGGCACATCCTGATTATCGCACGCCATCGATTCTGTCGGCCTATTCGTCAATAATTCTCAAAAAAAAGAAAAAAACGGAAAAAGATCGCCAATACAATTGTTGATGATCATGTCCTATAATTTATTTTATCAGATATATATATATAATACGATATTGCTATACTTTCCAAAGTCTCCAGAGAAAAAGAGCAACAAAGATATGTGACCACTGTGTATCTACTGTGTATCGCGCGAATAATTCCAATTAGCCGAGGGTCGTGATCAAACGAGTTAACGAACATAAGCGACCGGCATCCCGCACGTATAAATAAGTAGATGCGAGAAGACGTCCGTTTATACGTCCGCACATTCTATTTATCACGATACCAACCGCAGGCGCGGCGTCGAAACTATTGCCATTATATTATTGTTCATCCGGGAGAGATTCATTAATATGCAATGAGAAACTGGCTAGAGTGCGAGTACTGAATACTTTTGCGTATATCCTTCTGTATCTTTCTGTACCAAGAGAATAATGTATGATAAAATTCATAATTATCTTTATAACATAAATTAAAATTATTCTTGCATCAAGAGCGATATGTAATACGTTGTTATAACTCATCTTCATATGTCGACATCTACACATTCACTCTCACAACTTGTTAATAACTCTTTCTGTTGCAGACTATGATTTTATGTCCAGAACACTAATTTATTTATGTTCTGTCTGATGTCACCAGTCACGAACGCAAGGCAATCTTGATAAGTTCCGGCAGCACAGTTGTTTTCCATTGCATCGCTCTGCACTTAAAAGTTCATACGCTTCAATTATGACATGTATACTTTATAAGCGAGTGCAGTCTCCGGATGTGGCGTGTCTGGTTTTCGAATCCAGAAAGAAAGAACGTTGTTTCTCTACAATTTTTCACTTGGATATTTTAGCATATATTAATAAAACCAGTAATACTTATAACACCTCTAATCGTGCAAATTAACGAATTATTAAGATTTGGAAAATATTTTGGCAAAATATTTTGCGGAGAGACGTGCGAGATACATATAGAAAACCAGCAGACATAATAAAGCGTGCATGAGGGAGCCAAACACTTCTTGCTTGATGTGTATACAGTATTAGTAGGAATGATAACGTTCAGATTTATAACATCTGTGATACATAATTAAACACCTAGCTAATTGCGGGCTAATTTCATGTCTATTTTCGAGCAAAGTTATTCCAAATTCTCGAGTCGCTCTCGGCGCTTTCTTCCACAGCAGCTGTGTTTCCCTCGCTGCATTTCTCCGCGCCATCGCCCTCGTACGAAACCCTCGTGCACCCTCTTGCAGTTTACTGCGGGGAGACGGAAAAACGAGCGAAGGGGCGGCCCCTGTTGAAACGCAGCGTTGATGGAGCTATGTGAAACGAGTAGTCGTCGTCGTCGTCGTCGTCGTCGTCGTCGTCGTCTCTTCTGAATCATCGAGCGGTGGCAGCGTCGAGTACGCGTCTTCTAAATAACGTACAAGCGCATCTGCGCGTTCGCAGCGAGTAGCGGGGACTTATCAGCCGTTCCGTTTGGCGATCTCACGCTTATAATAAAGGCGAGAAGTAAGGCGAAGTAAAAATAATTCGGTATCGCTTGCGACTTTATTGGATCTTACTCAAGAATGTTAAAAATATTGAAGAGAAAAGATAGGTAGGTCATGTAACCGCCACGGTGTCCCGGTATATCTGCAGTGATTGACCTCTGTTTCGGATTCTCTCCGTTCAACCGGGAATTAAATGTGATCTCACTTAAACGCTCTGTATCTGCTGCATTTGGTTTTATTTAGAACATCATTACGCTACATCGCGCGTTTACCTCTAATGCTTATGTAATAAAGCCGAATATACGGTATGGAGAAATTAATCAGTAGATACTGGAAATTTGTCCCACGGTCCTGATCCAGTTGATCCCAATCAAAAATATTCAGTGGATGTCATATATACATATATATATATATATTTTTTTTAATTATATATATGTAACATATTTACTTATACTCTAATATAAAATGTTTTTCAAATAAGAAAATATACATTCTCAAAAAATATACATTCATTCTATTTAAATGAAAGAATTTAGATTTAAGTAAATTTATTATTAATACCCACCGGATAAATATTTTTTGTTCTTTAGATTTTTTTCTCTCAATGTATTGAGTGACGTTATCGAATTCTGATAAGTTATGCAACGCAATCACGATCTTGTTAATAATAAAGATTCTTAATCAAAATTTAACAATTAGATGTATCAATGTTAACAGTTACAGATAACATGTACAGTTAGAGATAACATGATATGTACCTTGTACATACTAAATAACTGACTGGGATCAACCTGATCAGGATAATGGGATAAATTTCTAGTCGAGTCCACCTTTGAACATCGGGTTCTCGAATTTTAATGTTACCAAAGTCTCGTGTATCGAGACTTGTGTGTATGTGTGTGTGTATTACGTCGTCGCAATGTTACACTTGATTCGCGCAATATATTTCAACGCCGTCTGCAACTGTTGTTTCAATTGCGGAAGCGCGGACCGCATGCGAGCGTCTCTCGGCGGGGGCATTGTTAACATGCGCCGAGCCCGATCTGATTAAAAGTCCACGACGGTCATAATTCCTGACTATGCCGGTCTCGACGCGAGTCCAGAATGCCCTTTAAATTATGGAGCACGGGAAGTGTCGTACGTTATACGATTGCGTGCTTCGTCCGCAACAAGCGGTCGTTCCCGGCAGGGTTGTTGCCGGCGTACCAACCCTTGCCCTGCCGTCGCGCGACCTCCGTCCGTATCATAGCGTTGCCGTCGTATACGGGAAACGATACCCGGCAGGCTAATTTCAGGATAAGCCGCGGTTAATGCCGCACACAATCGTCACGCAGCCGACGACGGTGAATTCGGAATCCGGGCCGCGCGGCGCGTGTGTGTCTGGCCGACACCGGCGATGAACTGCCCCGATCGATGTTGTGTCTGCTTCTTCGTTAGGGCCGCCATTCGCCGCCGCGCGGTCCGTCACGAATATATAACGACGTCGAAATTGTAGGTTCGATGTAGCCGACGAGCGTCGGGGCTGCACGCGTTCGCCCGGATTCCTCCGAGGCCCAAAGTCCACCCTCATCGATTCGCGCTCACTGTCGTGTACTCTCAGCCGGTGTCCCGCTCGGGGAACAGCCACGCTCGATGCGAACGCGAAAATAATCCGTCGATTACACGGCGGTACAGAGCCGAAAAACGCGCGCGCGACAATCCAAGGTTGCACGCGGCGTAAAATCGATACGCCACGAAACGATATGAAACGCGGACGCGAGCGTGTCACTGAGAGACGAGAGGCATCAGAGGACTACGTCGTTGGATGGAGAGGGTGAGACCAACGACGGCGAGGGAGATGGCAGAGGAGAAATAAATATAAGGGGTGCGCCAACGTTGTCGTTGATGACCATTAGCGGCGAATTCCTCGGATAAATCCGCAGAACGACTTCTTCGCTCGCGAATCCACACACACACAGTCACGAGATGAAGGTGAAAAGTTGGAGGGTGCGGCGGACGAAACGCGCAGGGAGGACGCGAGCTGTCTCTTTCTCAAGGCATGAATATTGAGGCTGAATGCACGTCGATTAATTATACAGGTGGCTAACGTTATCACCGCGGAGACAATGGTCCCGCGTGAAATATTCGTCTGAGAAAAATCGACCTGCTTCTTAACCCCGTCGTCGTTAACGGGAACGAGAATGGGAGCAAGCGTCAGTGACACTGTGCGCGCAAACGAGCGGAGAACAGACACACGAGGTAAGATAAATGTCTCAGTAATTGAACATTGTCCCAATGATTGAAACATTAATGACACACTTTTATTTAGTACTTCTGGAAAAGCCTTTAAAATTTCGTTAAGAGAGATTTTTTTTAATGCTCCAATTCGTAATGTTATTTAATGATTCAATCACTGAGTCTGTATTATTCGATAATTAGGACGTGATTCATTTTTCAGCTTAATATTGTTGGTATAATTGGCATTATCTAATATATCATTAATTTTATCTATATGTATAATAATAGAATGTGTCTGTATGTTTGTATTCTCCATACAGTCCTAAATCCTTTGACTGATCAATCTGGGCGAAATTTTGCATAATTACTCTCTAGGATCCTGCGGAAAATACAGACTATGTGAAACCTGGACATCCAACTCCCTCCCACTGATTTCATCCCCTTGACACTTTGCGATAACTCGGGCAACGTCGGGTTTCAGCTAGTAACTGATATTTATTGATTATTTCATTTCTCTCCTATTGTATTTTTTGAACGCTGGTGAACCAAAGTTTTTGAACGCACGTGAACGTCACTTTGGTTCGTAATTCCATTAATGATTTATTGATAAAGATGTAAGACTGATCGTGTTTTCTTATTAGTTTAATCATTGGCAGCACTTACCTTAGAGAACGATTTTCCGAACGGTTCGCGCTACTTTTATCGTTGCGCTGCGATTTTTCAGCGGATAACGCGTGATAATGAGGCCCTAAATCAAACAGTCGCGTACTAATTCATCACTTGCAAACATACGATTCGCTCCGCAAGGACGAACGCTGAGGATCGTTTCTTATCGGCGCGCTTCGCTGATCGCTCCTTATCGATACACAAACAAGCGATTTCTCGCGCCGCCACAGCGATGTGCAAACAGCGTCGACAAACAGATCGTGATTTCCAGTCGGGTGACTCCTTTTATTGAGCTCGCGCTAAAAAAAAGGAAAAACAACGAGCGGCGCCAAGCGAGATCGAATCGTTAGTCGCTTTAATGTAAGTCTAATTAATTAACCGTGCAAATGAATTAATGCTTTCAAAACGCAACGAAGTGAAAACCTTCCTCTACGGAGGGTGCCGGGGGAAGATGGAGAGAGGCGCGCCGAGCGGCGTTCGAATATGCGGCGCTCGAAGCAAACGATTTTTATGTTCACGGGCGGATTTGCGTCCGCTACCGCGCACGACAAGCGTATAACCGTGCGAAACGGTGTCGAGGGTTTCTCGGTAAGCCGTTAGATCTTGATAAACACGCGGTATAAGAGGCGTATGTACGAGGTGGGAAGATAAGCGCGGCGGGAGCAAGGGTAGCAAGGGCGTGAGCGAGTGGCGCTCTTCCATCGTCTTCTGCAAACAACCGATGCGTTCGCGAATCGTACGTCAGTCGCGCGAGTATAGCGCCAGCCTGAGATAAGTTTCGCGTTACGCAAGTCGGTCGCAATAAATCCTTATCTAGCCGCATTTCCTATCGCGCGTCGGTAACGACGTCATTGTCGTTGCGCGAGAAACGTGTTGCGCGGCGATTAATTTTCGCCAAACTCTTTACGGTGTTTACAGCCTCAAGAGAAAGAGAGAGAGAGAGAGAGAGAGAGGAAGAGAGAGGGTAGGTGGAGGAGGAATTGGTCTCTGTCTTTCTCTCGCATCGGCGTCCGTGTGTCGCCACAATAATGCGCCATGATTGACGAGCCATGTCTCCACGTGCTTGTTCGCCAAACAAACCTAAATCGTGGCTGAATTGCGAGGCGGCCGCGGAATCGAGCGCGCCACCAACGCATTCAGGTTGAAGGTCAAGGTTGAAGCGATGTGTCTCCGACGTGACGCGTCTTCGGCTTAAGGTCGGCGTCAGGCAGGGCTTCGTGCGGCCCTGGACGTTGAAAATCGAGCGGCCGCAGAGGACTCCGTTAGCTTTCAAAAACAACCCTTTCAGGAACAATGAAGAGTCGTACTTCATCGACAAACCGAGCATCGTCTTCGCGCCGTGACGAACCACCAACCTTGGTTCACTCGTTCCAGGGGTTGCGCGGACTCCCGTGGCGAGACGATGTCGCTAAAAAAGAAAGCGGAGAACAAATCTGCGCCGTAAATCTAACCGCAAACGAGCCGCGCGATAATCACCTCCCGAAGCAAGGCGAGTATTTCTAGCGAGAGGAGTCACTCGCGTCGAGCAGGAGAGTGTATGTAGCATCGGCGTAGCACGTTGCCGAGGCAGGAAACGTGCAACCAGCACCGGCGTCTCCACCGCTGCCGCCGCCACCGTCGACTCCGTCGACTATATCGGGGCGTCGCGACGCTTGCGCGGCTTTCATCGACGATCAGCTGGCTGGAGGTTTCTGTGCACCAGGTGGGAGTGAGAGGGAAAAAGCGAGAAGCGGAGAGTGAGAAGAGGGTAAAAGGAAGAGGAAGAGAGCGCTAGAGAGAGTCAGGGTGAGAGCGAGACAAGGAGAGAGAGACGGAGCAAAAAAAGATAGACACAAATAGAGAGATAGACAGGTCTAGAGTAAGCCTTATTATCATCCACACGCCACTTCCAACGACGAGGGTAGTGCCGACGGCGCCTACGCACGTTTTTGGCAGCGCTTCCACGCGTTTCTCAGCGTCACCGCCGTCGCCGTCGCCGTCGTCGTCGTCGTCGTCGTCGTCGCCACCTCCGACGTCGACGAGAGCGCGTCAGTACGCGGCCGTGCAGTGCTGCCGTGTCGGTCGTTGGTTCATTCGGTCGGTCGATAGAGGCACGCCGGCGAAGGTGCGACGCTCGTCCACTTCGATGAGTCCTCTCCCTGTACTTTATAATGCGGCGCGCTCGTTATCGTCGCGCTCCTCCCCGTCCCTCCGCCACGTCGCCGTCGCCGTCGCCGCTGTCGCCGTCGTCGTCGTCGTCCTCGTGCCACCGCGGCCGCACGTCGATCAGACTTCGCGCTCATCGCCAGGCGACACTGTGAAGACTTGAGATCGTCGCGGTATTCGCGAGCGGTGCGTAAGACGAGCAGCGTCGTGCTCCCGTCGCTCCCGTGCTCCTCCTCGTCGTCATCGTAGCTACATCTCGATCTGTCAGTCTATCTGCCTTCGTCGTCGCTGAGGCGCAACCAATCGCGCTATACAATCAACCAGGCATTGCTAAGCGAGAGCTACTCTGTGCGTCTTCACGCGTGTCATCCCCGAGGAGCACGGCCTTGCTACAAACGGAGCGCCCTTAGAACAGCGGAGAACAGCACCCCGTGTAACAGACGGGGGTTGTGATCGCGGCTGAGTCCTCATACGACGACGGCACCCTGCCGGTGACGTATCTTGCGCGGGGAGTAATGATGGACCGCGAGCAGCTGTTGTAGCGCGCGACTTGCCCGACGAAGTGGTATGAGTCACGTTTAATTATTGGACTTGACGTTTATAGCGATTTACAGCCGCGATAGTTATTGCGGCATTCGTTTCGGCGCCGTAACGGTTGCATATACTTGAGTGTAGAGCCGGGTCCACGTTCAATCGCCGAAGTGATTGGCGTCTGCAGACGAAGGAGGGAGAGAAGGAGGACGCTCCATCAAGCGTTCTTGGAAGAAATCTCAGCCAGACGCTGGAGTCATCATCGGAGAGACGAGAAATAACTGAGCCGCGACAGCTCTCGAACCGCGAAGCAGGAGAGAGGGTTGTTAGTCGTCGAAGGAGCCTGTACACACGAAGACGTGGACAAGGGAAAAATAAGCAGAAGACAAAGAAGAAATCCGTGCCGAAAGACGACCGGGCGAGAGTTCATTGACGTGCCTGGCGGCAGAAGAGCGGTCGAAATCGCTCCAGAGTCATCGTGCACGATCGAGTCGGCCAGTAGCGTGACCCAGCCAGGGCGATCACGCCGGGGGTGCGCGAAGGGCGCCAGCGGCGGCTTGTGTATACTTGCGTATATTGTGTGTGCGCGCGTGTGTGCCTGTATGTGTGTATACGTGTGACTACACCCGGAGGGTAGTTCACCGAGACTGTCCCTGCCCCTCGCTGTATAGTCACGATTAGGGGAGTCGGTCGGGGAACTTCGCAGCGTGCGAGCGTGCTCGTCGTCGTCGAGGTTCCCTTCTGATGGTACAGCGAACAGTGACTCACCGGCGACGGACGTGCGCGGACGACGGCGATCGTCCACGACAGAAGATCGTCCACCACCGTCGTCGTCGTCGTCGACGGGTCGTCGCGGGCGCGCCATCGACTGGTCGCACAACCTCGCCACGATGATCATCCCGGTGCGTCTCCTGCTGCTTGCCGTCGTCCTGATCCAGCCGGCATGCGGCCGCGCCGGCCTCGCGCCTCTCTACGAGCTTGGCTCCGCGGAACGGGTGCAGCAGGTCTCCGCGGAGGAGCACGGGCCCCAAGTCGACGCCGGTGATTTCCCCAGCGACCCGCACAGCGCCTACCCCGGTATGGGCTTCGGACCCATGGGACCGGTCCGTTCGGCTCTGTCCAACGACGCCACCCTGCGCAGCTTATCCTCGGCGAGCGGCGACAACGCCGTCAGTCAATCTAAGGACTCGCAGCTCACCGCGCGTTCCGCCGACGACGTCGTCGCCGACGCCGCTCCCGCCATCGGCGGGGAATCCTCATCCTCCTCCTCCTCCTCTTCGCACGACGAGCAATCGCCGAAGCCGGAGTACCACATCATCAGCGTCGAGTTTCCCCGCGTCGAGACGCCCTTCGTCATCGGGATATGGATCTTCTTCGCCAGTATCGCGAAGATTGGTAAGTGGACTCGGAGGAAGCGGACGGGAGGCAGGGGGATGCTCTAAAATATATGTATTGTTTCTCCTTCCTTGCTCCCCAAAACTTTCGGGATTTTCAGGAGAGAGGAGACGCGCAAAGGTGAGATACGAACTTTTGGAAGCGCACCGCAACCGAATTAACGCGACAGATTTTCCGCTGGTTAATCATCTGTTGTAAGCCCCTGAGATGTTCACGCGCAAGGATGTGGCCCGGAGTAGCTAACGTATCACGTTTATGTGCTCTCTCCCGAGACATTTGCGCGGAATATACGCGCATGAATATTTCCGAGTCCGCACTCTCTCTCTCTCTCTCTTTCTCTCTCTCTCTCTCTCTCTCTCTCTCTCTCTCTCTCCCCCCCCCTCTCTCTCTCTCTCGGATATTATCTTTCGTAAGACACGTATGAATTTTTGAGCTCGAAAATATTAAGAAGCTACGCTGAGAGAAAAATGTTTGGTATTTGTAATTATAATCATCCACAAAGAAATCATTGCTATAAATCCTCAAGAAAACATTTCCTTATAAAATTCTGCTATAATGTAAGTGATGATAAACCTTACATGCATATTACTACTCTACCATTTTACTAGAAAACTTTACTTTATTAAAGTTTACTTTATTTACTTACTTAATTTTACTTTAAAAAAATATGGTTGGGACAAAAAATCACTCTAATTGTAATCTGTTTTTTGATCACTGTAAGTTAGATCGAGCATTTTTTGTTTCTCAGTAGGATAATTGACTTGGTTACTCGTCGTGAATTTAGTTTCGATGCCGTTGAATCGATTTCTAATGAAATAAACTAACTTTTAACATCGCTCACACACAAGGGAGAACGACGAGAGCGAGGGCGCATTTGGAGCGATAAATTCGACGTCCTAATTAGAGCTTCCAAGTCGCACTTGTAATTAACTTCCTCGTGCCGAGACAACGCGCATACGACAATGTAATTGGAAACATGACGAACCGCACAATACAACGCATGTCCGATAATTTCAAACTTGACGACTGACAATCTAAAAATTGTCGCATTGTGTATCCACTTTGCGTCCTTTGTTATGATCGATGTAAACACCTGCCGCGCTTTTATTAACCGCCTCCGCCTCCGTTGGGCTGCGTCAATTTGCGCGCTAATGACGCTTTTCGACGAGCGATTATTACCGCATTCCATATTTTTCCGCTCGCTTACGCAATAAAGATAGAACGACAGATGTCAACGAAAACAGACTGGCAGCCGACACTCGTCACAAGCCATTATGCAAAAGACTCATTACATCCTCTTCCCGCCGCGCGCGCGCGCGCGCGATGACATTTTATTTTTAATAGTTTATCATGAATGCGTGCAACGCATCGGTGAACAAAGGTTCTTTTGTCGCGGCCGAAAATGTCAGCGTGGCGTTCGCATTGCAACAATTTGACCTGCATTTACCGCGTAACATGTCGGCGGAATATGCGCGGTTTCTCGAAGAAATTGCTCGCGCCACGAGGGAGAGCCGCGACGTCGTTACGACTCGCGCAACTAACGAGAATCCTTGCTGCGTCCGGAGACTCGAGAGAATAATATCCTGCGAGGGACGCACGCAGATCTCACTCTTGCGCGAAATCAGGATCGAGTCCGTACGTGAGAGCGTTCCACATGCCGCTCGATCGATACGACGAAGGAAACGACGAATGGCGATTTTTCGCTGCAATCTGGGCGCTTACGCAGCAGCCAAAGACGCGGCAGAGCCGAAGAAAAACAAACGAGGGCTCTTGTTATTTTTGTCGTTCGACGAAACAGCGCTAAAAGCTTCGAGGGGAAACGCGCGGGCGCGAAATATTCGCGTGTTACGTGCAATCGGTGACGGAAAGTTTGGTACACTTGTTTCTTCTAACACTTAGCCAAATCTACAATGCGTTTTTCGCTTCTTGCTTCTTTCTTCTTGTTTCTTTCCGACCTAAACCTTAAACTTTAAATCAGAAAAAGGAAAAGATAGAGAACAAGAAACAGGAAGCGAAAAGTACGTTGCATCAGACTTTAGGGAGTGGAGCTGAACGTTTCGTATGCTAATCCGATCGCTCTTGTTCTGAGCAGATGTATACGCCAGCAGGTCACAAGTCAAATATATGCGCCCATAATGCTCTAAGAGTTAATGAGCTCTATGAGGTATCCAGTGGAAAAATTTGTTCTCCGGTCATTCTCAGAAAATTACAAATTTTCCTGTTGGTTGCGTTCTGAAGCTCATTGAAGTGGAAGTTGTGCGGATCTTCCCGCCGCTGATTGCATCACGACATTCCAGACTGCATAATTATATTGCGGCCGTAAATTGTTCGATATCGAAGCTCAGATTTTACTTTCTGCCAAATTCCGCGGGGCAAAGTGAGTGGCATCGGCTATCGAACACCCTTTTACCAACGAGAAAACCGCAACACGCCACTCCACTCGACGCATTCATCGCGTTCAAATTACGCCCGATCGAGCCGAGTGATTCCCGCCGACATCGAACATCGAACAACGTACACAAAATATCTGGCACGTTTTCGAACGGCATGGATGCAACATACGGCGCGATGCAACGCGACGTGCGAGCATGCACTCGTCGGAGCATCATCGACGGCGAAAGATACGCACGCGACACGTTACACCTCTGCTGCGCTCGGCAGAATCCGCGCTGCGCTCCGTTGCAACGCGGTATGCTCGGTATTCCCCGGCGGGAGCCGAGATTAGTATAATAATTTCGGCGAATGCAGCGAAAGATCGCACGATACAAAATCAAGATCCGCCTCTTTCCCGTCTGCTCTCCATTAGCTTCTTTATCTCAATGAGTTCAGCTTTTGGTGACGACGACTAGCCAACGTGAGTATTAATTTCCGCACTGGAATTATTCAACTCCCTATTATGTAACTGTCAGAATCCGCTCAGGATTCCAATTTTAATCTTTTTTCTCTCTCTTTCTCTCAAGCAGTCTTTTAGTTATGAAAATTGATGTCTTATCCCCTTATTCTTTCTTGTAGCTCCTGCAAAGAACAAAATTTATTAGGTTGATACAAACAATTGGTAATTTTTCTATTAAATTCTCGCAGGATGTTGGGCATTAAAAAAAAAAAAAAGAAGAAACTTTTCCTTAGATTGCCTGAAAAAATATCGAGTCAACCTTATCCCTCTTAATTTAAAAAAATGATTAACCCTTCGAAAATACATATAATTTTGTTTATTATTTTCTTCTTTGTTTTATTTATATAAAATATATTCAATATAAATTTAACAAGCACGGAAAACCGTCTACGTTAATCCGACACTTGATCTTTACTTTAGGACAGGATAATCTTCTGAACGAGATAATCCTATTCAAAAGAGAATATTGATCCTTAGATTTAATTAGCAGTATGATGCTGCACCGAGAGCTGAAGCAACGCTAAGTATTCTTATCGAGATCAGAAAGCACCTCGGTTGACGCCGACAGATCTATGAAACGTGATGTTTAATCGATCGCACCTCACCTGATTCCAGGCTTCCACATGACACCGAAGCTCAACAAGATCTTCCCGGAGTCCTGCTTGCTGATCGTCGTCGGCGTGGTCGTCGGCGTCCTGCTGTTCCAGGCCAGCAGCGTTCACGTGTCGCCGCTCACGCCAGACACGTTCTTCCTTTACATGCTGCCGCCCATCATCCTGGACGCCGGCTACTTCATGCCCAATCGGCTGTTCTTCGACCATCTCGGGACGATACTCCTGTTCGCCGTCCTTGGGACTATATTTAATACGATGTCGATAGGTAGGTAACGAGGCGGCGATGAACGCGATTGACAGGCGCGCCAACGCCGGCGCCGCTGCCGCCGGGAGCGAATTTTACTCGAATTATTTCTTTTCCCTCGGGGCCGCAGCTGGTTCCTACTCCGTCACGTCTTCCATCCAGCCGACCTCGCCGATTTCGCGCGCGTAAAAACACATAAAGTGTCCCGGGAGGAAAGAAGTTCTTGTCGTCGGACTGCTCGCGTCGATCGGGTGATTTCGTGCGGAAAATGTCGCGTCAACGTGCCTGCGATCCGTGTAGCTTGCGAAGTCATGCGTTGAGATCGTCCGCATCCTTTCTCTTGCATCGGGAGGACGATGATGTGGCAGGAAGGAACTTAAGCGTAATATCTTGTTGCCGTCATTGCGATATGAAACGATGACAAATACTCGAGTCCTTATCCTAAACTCTCTTTTAACAATAAAAGTGTCTCCAAGTGTGACTGAAAACTTCAAATTAAAAGGTTTGTAAATGATATTTAGAGACATGTTTATCGATGAGAGAGAGAAAGAGAAAGAATTCAAAATCAGGGATTGGGTCTTTAATCACGATTTAATTATTGATATTTATCATTTTAGTACTTTTCTGTAATTGAAAGCAATTATTCTTTAAATACGAATGACGTTAGAAAGAGAGAAAGGAGGCGCGGTCTTCTAAAATAGTAGTTCCTCTTGAGACATTCGCAACAGTCGCGCTAGACCGTTAACATCTGTCAGCCTTATCGAGAAATGAAAGTTCGTAAAATATTGAGTTTTCGGGGTAAAGCCGGTTAGAGGTAGGACTGTGAGTAAAATAGTCACTTATTTTTTTCTTATGGATCTACGGGCTTTAAAACTTCGGACCAACGAGTTTTTACGATGGGAAAAATCGACTCACAAATCGAAGTTACGATCTTTCAAACGAGCTATCCAATAAATTTTTGGAGAAATCTCTTCGTACGCGAAGAGGAAAAATTATAGGCACAAAATTTGCTATGGCAAGATTTAGAGAAAAATTCGCATAGAAAATCGCAAATTTCTCAACAGTACTCTCACAGTCTTTGACGATTTGACACACACGAGTTTTGCGTTCCTGTATATATATGAAGATGTATACGCAACGAGAAAACGGCGTATAGGCCGCGAATAACCGTTTCTCCGCCGCGAAATATTCGTTTCCCGCTGCTGCTCGGTCTGTTCGCGGTCTAGCGCGAGTGCACATGTTCGTCTTGAAAACACAGAGTCGGAGGATACGCGGACTGAGAACGCGCGTACGAAAATAGCGCGTGTTCACGTGCTCGCGTCGATGACGCGGACCACAACGCGTGCCCCAACTGTCATCTCGACGATAATCGCCGCCATCGTGCGACAAAGTGCGACTCAATCGCGGGACCCTCAAACACAACAGCGTCCTTGTGCGAAAAGAAACAAAAACGACGGTCGATTCGGTGCGTACTCCGCGCTGAAATATAACTGAAGAAATCTCGTTGGAGGAAAAAAGAGAAGAAACGATAACAATATCGAACGCGTTAGCTGTAAATGGCGGACGCGATATCCCACTGCGAACGGAAGCTTTTCTCATAAAAAGGCTTGTCATTTAGTCGTATTTCTAGACTGTTACTTTTTATCGCGATAAAAATGCAAAAAGTAACGAGATTTAAGGTCGATAGAACTCCACAAAATGTTATAGATGTCGTCTATGCTAGCATTTGCGAGCTGCGAAACGAACGTAAATGACGTGGTCTCCTGCTCTCTCTCTTTCTCCCTCTCTCTGTCACTCTGTCACTCAGTCTCTATAAATAAAATCGCGTATTAATTGCAATGTAGTTTCTTGCACAATTTTCTGGCATAGTCTTATCATGTTGAATCTTTGATTATCGCGACAGTTTTGGGCAAGGCGACGATCATCCGACGCGATCTTAATTAATATGAAGGCAAACAGACACGCTTGTATCATTTCTCCACGTCAGGAGCCGCGAATATTGGCGTACGATGAGATCTTGATAATAATGACACTCGAAGACGCCGCGGGACCAGCTGAGGAAGTAAAAAGCGATCGCGATTTAATTGTCTCATTACGCCGATGAAACATAATTATCGTAATGCGATTCAACGATGTTTGATTAGCCGAATTAATCGACGAACTCGCGTCGCCTTCGCCTCGCCTTATCGCCTTCTACGGCGACACTTGACATGTAGCGCAGACACAGTAAAACGTGACGATAACGCAAACCGATCGATAACGCGCGGCGCGATCTCGATTAATGTATAATCTCGCGTCAAAAAACAACAGTACAATCACGAGACCTACCGCCACCAGCTGCAAATCCTCGGTGGGCTTAGCATAGCCGACATTTCTTTCCGATGCACATTCAAATCGATGAAACAAAATGGCCAATAGCGCGACCGGACGAAATTCGAATAAACCGATATTGATTTCGGATTTCCCGGAATCAGTATATATTCCTTCACATAACCAAGAAGAGGGGGACTTGGTTTACAATTACATTCCTTAAACACACACACGTCCATTTATTCCTTACTTTTACCTATCTAATTTACTAATGTCTCTATAGTTACATTGTCTCTCTCCAATTGACCTTACAATATCATTCTCGTTATCTAAACATCCTCGTAATCTTCTCTCACTTTTAATTCCTTTTAATCCTTTTAATTTTCATCTAACCTTTACACTACTTACTCCTTCTCTCTGTCTATCATGTTTAATTACACCTTTCTATTTTAACGCGCATTACCTTGTCTTCATACAAACAATACCCCAAGTTCTGTTCTTTCCTTCAATTGTACACATACATACGCACACATTTATCGCTTCATCTTTCCTCTCCTTATACAATACAATACAATCTGCACTGCTCTCCTTATTTCCTTTTCATAAACTTTTTCCCCAATTTTCTTGCATATCTTGTTAGTTTTATTACTCCACTTTATACTTCCTAATAATTTCATGAAGTGATTTCTCCGCTTTTTTCTTCACTTTCTGTATGTCTTCTTCAGCTTTCATCGTCAAGAACAAGTTTTCCATATCCTATAATCTTCCTCATTCTTTGCACTTCAATTTCTTACTTGCACAGCACCTGTTTCACCAGCCCTTATGTCATTCTTTTTCCATCTACTTTTCTTTTGCTTCCTTATCCTATGCGATGACCAAACTTTTCCTCTTCATCCCTATATACTTCTGATTCTATTGTTACCTATTATACTATACATTTGCTCTATCAATAATTTCTTGTGCATTACTATACTAATTTAAGTTTGCCTGCATTACCTACATTATCCTAACCATCCGTTCCCTACCTAAAATCTTGTTTCGTCTTTATTTATACATTATTTAAGCACCCATTCCTACATAATTTCCTCTATCTGACTCCCCATACTTAACTCAATACACTAAAATCTAAGTACATGCATTACCCCATATAACACAACGTCTAAAATCGGGACATAAGACGTCTTAAAGATGTCTTTCAGACATTGAAATATAAGACATTCCTAAGACATCTTTAAGATCTCTTTAAGACCTCTTATGTCCCGATTTCAGACGTTGTAGGACTCTTATCAAACATCCACACACTTGCACGCCATCTAACCGAGTTTGATTTCCCGGAATCAAGTCAAATCGAAATCAAATCGAAAAGTGTCTTCGCCGCGTCGCCGGCTGCGCGGATCACCCTCGAGGGAAAATGCGAACGCGAATCCCGACGAGTACGGGTGCATGTACGGGGTGTGTGGGTGGCGCGCAGGTGGCCGATAACACAAAATTTCTATCTTCGGAGCCGTTAATCTCGCCATTTACCCTCTTATCGCGGCGGCGCGTTCAACGACTTGGCGCGATCGATCGGATAATAATAATCCCAACGGATTGACAACTTGCTGCGAGCATGCTTAAAGCGGATTAACAATGGGCGATAATTGCTGCAAAGTTGCGGGCGAAAGAATGACGCTTTTCGCGCGAATTAAAATAAATATCGGGCGACTTTCTCCTCTCGCTCTCCTTCCCATATCTCTCTTTCTCTTTCTCTTTCTCTCTTTTTCTCCCTCTTTGCCTCCAGGTGTGTCATTGTGGTTGTTGGGAAAAAGTGGCGTGTTCGGCTGCGAGACACCCCTCCTCGACATGTTCCTGTTCTCGGCGCTGATCAGCGCCGTCGACCCCGTCGCCGTGTTGGCCGTCTTCGAGGAGATTCACGTGAACGAGATACTCTATATCGTCGTGTTCGGCGAGAGTCTGTTGAATGACGCGGTCACTGTCGTGAGTATTGCATTATTTACATCGTCTCGAACACGGCTATCTGCGGCAGCCTATCTCGGGCGAGCCGTTCGGCCGCCCGGTGTTTAGATAAACGGAGATTAAAACCGATCGATTCCGGTCGGTTGATTCGCGAGGCGGCTATAACGAGCGAGAGGAAGAAGCACGGCAAACGAGTGGGCCCTCGTTTCGTCCGGAAGCAACGAACGCGACGGTAACGCGCGAAATGGAAGAAGGAGAGCAACGAGTCGATGTGGAACACTGCGAGTCTAAGTGTGTTATTTTTAAACGCATAAACGTGCAATTCAGCTGAAGCTTTTTTTACACGTTTCCTGCGATTTGAAATCACATCGTTTAACACGTTTAAGAGATGTAAATTACAATTCAAACTTGTTAAATGACGTGACTTGAAAGAAACATATGAAGGGTCCCGAGTAGAAATGTAACCAGTCGACCTAAATCAAAAGCTAGTGGCTAGCTAGTATAGAATATATTAAATTTTTTTAGATCGTTACTAATTCGTTGACTATTCACTGAAATATACAATCGAGTTTGTGGTCTAGCTGTTGTCACAAGCCATGATATAAAATATGATAGAATAGACGACTATCTGTTGTAAAATACATGATCCAGTTATATGACTACTGGCATTTTAAGAGCAAGTAGCAAGTAAATTTTGGGTTACGTTAATTTCATAAAAATCTCAAAAATATATAAATTGATAAAAAGTTTAAGAAGCAAAATTGAGCGTTGCATTATTAGCAGCCAGCAACTACTTATCGATTTTCATCTCATAATCGTAACTTTATTCGTTTAATCTTTAACTAACTTATTTATCTAACCATTAAGAGGAGCAAGCGTTACATTACGCTTGGCGCTGGTAGTGATGTTATTACATCGGATACAAACACAAATTTATAATCTATACACTGACGAGGTTCAATTTCCACTAGGAAAGATCTAGTCAAAGTAACACCCTTGGATATGCAGTGAATATTAAGAGTATTTACGGGAACGAACCGCAGGACGCATAAATTGAACGCGAAGGGAAGAACAGGAAGAATGTGTTGCGCGCAAAAGGAAACTACTTAGTTGCCAACTATTTTGATTGATGATCAGCGCGAAACGTCGCGAATAGTCGGCGATGTTGGGAGAAGAAGGTAGCGATAGATTAAATTTGCCTCGCTCCCTCCGCGGCCTTCGGTCGGGATCGAGCCTGAGGCTGACGTTGATTAATATTCCGCTAAAGCCTCGCGTCAGAATGCATAATAAATAAATAGGAGCGCGAGACGCGCAAAGCCTGCGCGCGATCTCGCGAAGTAACGCGCCGTCCTTTGCTGTATAACACGTCGGGCGCGATCAAGACGCGATATCGATATCGATCTCTCGTGTCGTCGCAAAAGTGCGAGTCAAGTATGCCGGACACTTTTTCGCCCCCGCCATAGGATTAATAATACGACGTTTGCATTGGTTCGCCGAGCCATATGTCGGGTCTGGAGCGCCCTGAATGAAACAGCACAGTGTAGCGCAAACACTCCTCTTGTAAATACGAGCCGGCGACGGCTTTATTAATGCATCGCCGTGCCGACACTTCGACGGTTATTAATACCCGGTGGTCTGCACAAAAGCGGCGGCAATCCTCGAAAAACACTTCCTTCCTCGCCTCGCGAACCAAGAATAAGACGCAATCGCGCGAATCGCGAGAATCTCGAGAAGCCCGTCCACCTGTCGGCTCGAATATTTCATCGCGATTATTCCCGCATATAGGTCGGTGATGCACCGTCCTATTCCGCATTTATAGTTTTATTTTATAGTATTCGTGCGAGAGCCGGAATTAATTGGCCTGCGGTCTGGCCGTATCCTTTTGTCGTGGCAAATTGGGTCGGGCCAACTAAGAACGGCGAGGGAGCTCGAGCGAGAGCTCGATTCGCTCGAGCCACCGATTTTAGGATCGCCTTTCGCTCGTCGTTCGCAAGGACGCGAGGTGGAAGCGCGTCGTCAACGGTTTACGTGCAGCGGTCGCAGCGAGTTTAAAGGTCATCTAATACGACACGCAGGTGCTCTATCACATGTTCGAGGCGTACAGCGAGATGGGCCCTTCCAGGATCATCTACACGGACGTGCTGTCGGGCCTAGCCTCGTTCTTGGTGGTGGCAATCGGCGGCACGATCATAGGTATAATTTGGGGCTTCGCGACCGGCTTCGTCACCAGGTTCACTCATCAGGTGCGCGTGATTGAGCCGATCTTCATATTCGTGATGGCGTACTTGGCATACCTCAACGCCGAGATCTTCCACATGTCCGGTATATTGGCGTGAGTAAAATAAATCACCGGCTCTCTCCCGACGTATCTCGCTTGCATCTCTCCAGCCCCGAAATATACTCGACAAGCAATCGCTAAATCTAGATGTGTTCGGCGCAGGGTAGGGGAGTCACTTGTCGCGCAGTTTGTCTTCGCTGTGTGTGATTTCGAGAGAGGTCACATCGGTCCTTCAAATAAATTAATAATAATAATAATAATATTGGATATATTGCGCGCACACGCACTGATAATATCGAGAGCAAGTTTCTGGGCTCTTTCCGTCGATCTGGTCGACTCGATTCTTCCAGGGGAATTTCATGAGAACGCGAGCTAATCGCGATGTAAATAGGATGCAAAAGAGCTAGCTCCAAGCAAGCTTTAACGAATCGCCAAGACGAACAAAAAAGTTTGGTCGGATGAGCCAGGTGTCTGGTGAAAGATGAACAAGCTAGAATTCCGGTTGATGTTACAGGAACTTTGTTCAAGTCAGCGAGACTTCTGGTTAACCAGCAATCTTGTTTGGTTAGCCAGAAATCTCGTTAGTTTGAATAGAATACTGGTAACTTCAACCGGCAATCCGGTCCGTTCATCTTTCATCAGACATCTAGTGAATCCAACCGAATTTTCTTTTCCATGCAATATTAGTAGTGAGATTGTCCTCCTTACAAATTGAAATATATCGGATGTTCCGCACACGCACTGGTAATAAGATTGAAAATCAGTTTTTGGGTTAACATCGACTTCTCGTGGATCTTGTCGACTCGCACTGAGAAGAGGATTTTGCTTTCGAAACAAAAATATTTCGTACACCGGATTATGATTTGGCAAAATAATTGAAATCAACTAAACGTTTGGTAATTACGACTTAATAATTTAATTGTCGCTATGCGCGCTTCACTTTCTCAATAGTACATGTACTTGACGCAAGTGAAAACACGCCGACCAGGTCGTATTATATTCGAAATATTGCTCGGCTCCAAAAACGATTTTCTCAGTGCGATTCTACCGTGTGATGGTAGGATCGAAGAGAACGCGAGGCTGACGCGAACGATTTGTCGCGATGTAAACGGCACGTCGAGTGTAATAGCGCCGAATAAGGCAACGAGCTCTGAGTAAGCAGTGCGCTTTAATTCCGCAGTTGCGTGCGCTATAATTGTCGACGATTACGGACAAGATTCGCGCGTTCATGTCGCGACATCGGCATAGAAATAGCGAGCCGACGTTAGAGCCACGCCATCCGTTTAGCGACCCGCGATCCTCTTATTTCAGAATAACCTTCTGCGGCATCACCATGAAGAATTACGTCGAGGCGAATATATCGCACAAGTCCCACACGACTGTCAAATACACAATGAAGATGCTGTCGAGCAGCTCGGAGACCATCATATTCATGTTCCTCGGCGTCGCCACGGTGAACAATGCGCATAACTGGAATACGTGGTTCGTCGTCATGACGATAGTCTTCTGCTCCGTTTATCGAGCTGTGGGTAAGCGAGACAGCCAGATTTTATACCGTTCCTATCCCGATTATGCCGGGTAATCGGGCAAAGAGGATCTCTTTTCGTCTCTCCTAGTATTTTAAATCCTTGTCTCCTAACAGCCATTTTCGAGAGATTTATACACGAAAGATTCTTGAATCCCGCGCCAGATCCTTTTGAAAAATTTTTCAAAATCAAAACCACGTAATTTAGATCGTTTTTGTCCGATTATTTCGTTCGGAACATATGATCTCTGTTCTTTCTGAATTTTCGCTCGCAAACGACCATCTGCCTTGTCGACGCGTCGGGAGATACAAGCATACTAGGCCAGACTCTCTATATCGGCGAGATAATTTTGACTTGCGGAACTGAGGAAATGAGGAAAAGTGGCTTGATATAAATAGCGATTCGTGCCAGAAGAATTCGACACGATCTCGCGCGGGGCCTTGACCGAACCAGCGTAGCCGGGCGTTAAGGACGTCGCGAGTCGGCGTGTAAAGCGATACGGTTAAACGATGAAATCATAATGGGACTTGAGACAATTGACTTCTGTGCTTACACGAGCACCTTACGTCACGGCTCGGCGTGAGCAACGCGCTCGCTTATGGCTTCTTGGCCTAACCGGACAATTTGCCACTCGATCGTGTGGAAAGTTCGAGATAGGGACGGCGAGCTGTCGTGTCGACGCTTCGTTAAATAGATGGGCCGAATATATTTTGATCGAGATCAGTCGGTCTTAATCTCGCGGCTTCGCATTCCTGACGACCGTTAATCGCTCGCAATCATGAGTGGAACGCGTAATCGAGAGGACGGATTCTCACGAGTCCACGCTGTGAGAAAAGTGTTTGGTACTTGTAATTATAATCACACAGAGAAAAAAATTACTATAAATTATGGTCAACAAGAAAACATTTTTTTCTTTTATTAGATTCTACTATGATGTTAGTGGAGCTACTGTGCATGCCACTGCTATCATTTTACTGTAAAAAAATACAGTAAAAGAACAACTATATAATTTTAGTTAGATCCACCACTTTTTCTCTCAGTGCAACAGTCCACGATGGAACGTAAACGGCGGGACGACCGATCATTGCGAACGAATTTGGATGAAATTAAAATAAAAAATTATCGCGAGCGTTTAATTTGATTTCATTATTGATATCGCGCGCCCACTTCCGTAATCACGAGCCGTGTCGCTTCGCGTCGCAGGCGTAATAGTGCTCACGGCGTTGGCGAACCAATTCCGGCTGCACAAGCTGGACAAAGTGGAGAAGTTCGTGATGTCCTACGGCGGTTTGCGCGGCGCCGTGGCGTTCGCTCTGGTGCTCCTCATAGACCCTAAACACGTGCCGCTGCAGCCGATGTTCGTCACCACCACCATCGCCGTCATCTACTTCACCGTGTTCATCCAGGTGAGCTTGGGTGGGAAATTCGCGAGTTCCTGGCGCGATCGCGGTCGAGCGATCGATACGCGACGAACTTGACGCCGCGGGGGCGCAAACGAACGACGCGTCGTTTCGTAACGACGACGATGCATGATGCTCCGTGTGAGTGCAAAGCGTCCAGGCGGGCAGCTCGATTAAACTGGGACGACCTAGTATCTTTAGACACGATCACAGGGCGACTAGCAATTGAACAGTATCTAGTGAACGAACTATTTGCAGTATTCATTCCAATGTTACGGTATGTGAAGCGCATATTACGACTCAAGTGAGTGTAGTTGAAGGTAGCTCGCAGGTTTTATCTGATTATACAAAGAAGAGTGCGTCGCAAAAGATTAACCTGGCTATTCAAATATGGGAGTTTGGTGCTTAAGTGTTCGCTTAGAGGCCTTGAGTGTTCATTATTTACTGGACAGGTCACTCTGGGTGACACGTGTGCATTTCGCGAGTGCCTCTCGTCCCAACGAGATTTTTCTATCCCGGGATGAGAGAGAGAGAGAAGAGAGGAGAGAAAAAAAAGTCGCAGCCTCACCGTTAAATTGACGTCCGTTTGATCGCCGATTAATGAAAGAGAAAGAGAGAGAAAGAGAGAGAGAGAAAGAGAGTGTGTGTATGTCAGGTGAAGACGTAGCTGCAAAAAAACCGGTGCTTTGCACGTGTCTCTTTGCTGTGCGCGATCGATCGGAAACCTAATATCGATGTCGCACATACTTGAGCATATACAGCTTTGCGTCACGCGTTTATCAGCCGCGGACTGCTCCTCTCCGTGCTCTGGCGCCAACCAGATAATCTGCACGGACGGACCAGATGCGAGCACGTGCCTTCTCGATGACGCCAATATGTAATGCGCTTTTCCTTTCAGGGGATCACCATCAAACCCCTTGTGAGAATTCTCAATGTCAAGCGGGCCGAGAAGAGAAAACCGACGATGAACGAGAGGATTCACGAGAGGGTACGTGTCGTCTTGACTTTGATTCGGAAAAATCGCGACCGTCGCATTCAAGAAAAAGAGAGATCTTTCTAAATGGACGTTAAAAATTCGACGAAATTATTGAAAAACGCCTCGTAGAATGAATCACGTTCGTCACGCGTTTCTTGGAGTGAAATCTCACTAAGAACGAGCAAAAGTTTACTCGAAATGATAATGAAGATGCTGCCGCTCGAGTGAATGTTTTACTCAAATCGTAGATGAGTGAATTCTTGATCAGCACGAATGCACATTTTAGATTAGAGTGAGCTTGTTCCAGTGACGTTGAAGTACACTCGATTCGACCACTCTCAAATGAATATATATTCACTCGTCGATTCAGAGTAGGAAAATTCGAAAATGTCACTCGACTTGTCGGGCGACTCGCTGCACTTCTCGACTGAAATTTCATCCGAGGAAATGCGAAGGGCAATTGCCTCGAATCTTCTTCTTTTTTCCTACAATGCAATCGAACGTCGCGGCGCGGCATTAATCGACGCGAAGAATATCGACCGAATCGAGAGACGCGCGCACGGCCACCGTTCGTCACTGTCAAGCCGCATTACGGAGCGCGAACCACGCTTGACAATTTTTACCCGAGGCTTTTCGACACGGCGTTCCGCATACTGCCTGTGTTTGCTCACGCGAGCGTAAACGTAGCAAATTCTCGTGGATCGCGTATTCTCGCCGCCGTCGCCGCTCGACAAACTGAAAAGACAAATAACGCTCTCCTGATTTCCCAGATAATGGATCACACGATGGCGGGTATCGAGGACATTTTGGGGAAGCACGGCAACTACCACGTGCGGGACAAGTAAGATGTTCAGCGATAACTCTATTTGCCCGACAGATCCGACGATATACGTGATTAACGGGAGAAATCTCCGCGAAGCTATTAATATACCGCGAGAGCGAAGATAAACGGAACGGGACATACGAGACGGATTTACATCCTTCATTTATGAGAACTATTTTACGACATCGAGATGAGAAGTAGTGCGAAATTCGCTTTGAAGTATGACAATCGTATCGCAATAAAGTCGCGAGATTGCTACGGGTGTCTCAGAGATGTTTCATCGTAGAAAAATCACGCGTCGTTAATGACGCTCTCGGGATGCTTTCTGTATCGCCGTGACCCGGTTTGCCATAGATTCAAGCGATTCGACACCAAATTCATCCGGCCTTATCTCGTGAGAGATCACTGTGGCGCCGAGCCGAAAATCCTGGAGACTTACTCGAAGCTGGCAATGAAGGATGCGCTGGATTACATAAGAAGAAACGCTTCCACTATCGGCAATATCAGCGGCACCGAGAGCATGTCGGCGATATTCCGCAATTACAGCAATACGAACGGACAATTCAACGCAAGGTGAGCGTGTCCTGTTCGTTTAGCGACTTGTCGCGATGGCATCTAGGATAATTAGACGACAACGTTGAGTGAACAGTCCCGAAGCAAATTTGAAAGAACAAATATTCTCAAGTATAAATGATCCCAAGATTTTCTAAGAAGAACTCTAAGATAATTTCAAAATTTTCTAAAACGTAAATAATGATATACATATAGAAAAATAACATCCTACTATCAGAAAAAACGATTCCTCCGTTTACTTTGGTTCTTTTCAATAATGATTGTCTTCAACAAAGAATACTTTCTTGATAACAGTTTTGAAATATACTCATCACAATCACAAGTTTCAAAAATGCTCATTTTCATGAACTCACATAAAGAATTCATTCTCTCGACAAAAATATTATAAGATGTTATCAAAGAAAAAGTTGGTTTGACCTAACTTGAGTGTAGTAAGCTAATCAAATTTTGGTTTTAATTTAATATTGTTTATTGAGATTCTGAATTTACTAAGATTCAAAATGTATTTTAATGCTTGTATAATTTTTTTATATTTGTGACGAATTAACGAGAGATTTGCGAATATATATAAACTTACGAAGTACTTGAAACAAATAATATTTACCTGAACACAGTATATACACAGAACTTTTCTGTACGCATTCATCAGATATTAAGACGTTGGGAAAAGTATTCCATGTACCAAATAAGAGGCTCATCGCGAGATTTAAAAGCATTCGAAGAAGCGACACCTCCTAATCGTTCTCAGCGAGACGCGCGATAGCCTTCTAATCAGAACTCTTCATTCAACAAACATAAACGGCAATCGTATTATTCGTAAACGGTGTTTTCCTCCCTCAGCCCCAGCTGCAGTCAGCTCGAGGCGGGATGGAATATCGATCTGCAAGAACTCGAGTACAATCCCTCCAAGAAAGACCTGACAGACGCGAGAATCCACCATCTGCTCGCTGAGGAGCTCTGCAAACCGTACAAAAGGGTAGGAGATAAAGTTACGATCGTCTCTAGATTTCCCTCAAAGAGATCCAACGCGATCTAATCTCTGATCCACATAATCTATCGCACGATACCGTCGCGATAGAGACGGTACGCGCGATTACCGTAATGTAATGAAAAACGTTAATCATATATATACACACACACACACACAGCATCGGCGCCTGAGCTACAGTCGGCATGCGGTAAACGATCGCGATCTCTCGACGCAAGTCAATTACAAGATGCATATGAATATCCGGCGAATGATGGGCGAGCACAAGCATCGGCACAAACGCAGCAAGAAGCTGCTCAAAGTAAGGATCGATCGGCGAGCCGATCGTCTCTCGTGTCTTTAATTCGTAATCCGTCCTTCCTCCGCTGTCATTGATCGATTTCGATTGCACACAGGACGGCAAACCGACCCACGTTAGTTTCCCGGAATTTCAGCAGAACGGCTCGACGAAATTGCTCAGGCAAGGTACGTGCCGAGGCGTCGCGAACGGTCGACCCGTCGCATTGGGATTTCGCGATGGTTTTCTCATGGATTATTGTGCGCAGATTACATCAACGGCGTGCTGTACGAGTTAGAGAACGGCGAGAGCTCGAAGCCTTCCAGCAAGGAAGACTGGGACTCGGCGATCACCTTCACCGCGCGCACGTCCGGTGAGAAAATGTTCGATTTTACAGGCGCGACTGAGCGGGAAGTTAAACGATTCGATCGCGACGCGTCGATGATTATCAAACGCGTCGATCGAGAAATGATCGCGAGTCGCCGCTTGACGAGAGATCGTGCCTTTCGCGCGCGCGAATTAGTTAGATAGTTAATTAGTCTCTCCAAAGCTGTGACCTATCTAATGTACTTTAAAATCTCCAAACGAAAGATTCTCCCAATGTAAACGCGGACAATCAGCATCCTACCACCACTACTACGTCGATGGACACGATTAATTCTGACGAAGGAGACTTGAAAATAGGACGCGACGGTACGTGTTTCAAGAGAAGGAAAGGAGTCCAAACGTTGGCTTTGTGTTACTGCGAGCCGTTGTTTTATTTTGCGTGCCGGGTGCTTCGGAATTGCGTGTAAAGACTCAACTGGCTGACAAAATTCACCACCATTGCCAAACCAACTTCCGCTTTAAACCGAAGACAACAGATATTTTCTAGCTCTGTATCACAATTAATGTCCATTTCAACTGATAATTTCTTTCACTTTACATTTAATCTCTACTTTAAAGGTGCATCGATATTTCCTAACTCTACATCGATTAATCTCTAATTCTCATAATATTTTCCAGCTCTGCGTTAATTAATCTCTCTATTTCACACAATATTCTTCTAACTCCAACATCAATTGATCTCTATTTCACACCACATTTTCTAACTCCGTATTAATTAATCTTCACTTTGAGGAAGAACGACTTCGCGTCTGTCGGAGGCACGACAGTCTCAGTTTTCCAACGGCTATCGTCTCTGGCCTGTGCGAGTCTTAGAACCGACGAAGATACCGACGATTCTAATGATCATATCGCGTTCTCGAGCGACTCAGCTTTGCCAAAGCGAAGCTGGCCACCTGCTGAGTCTCGGAGCGCGAGTTCGTATCTTATCTCGTAACTCAATACGTAACCACGTTACGTAAGCGCGCGGCCTTGCCCCTACTCTCTGCCCCTACGCCAGCGCGTCCCTTGGACTATGCAGTCGTTGAACTCACTGATGTACGGGTGGACACGATGCAGCCGCCGTCTGCGAGCACGCCGGAACTTGGAATGGTCGTAACTCGCGAACGAATCGACCCAGAGACACGAAAAGAAAGACGCTCTTTTTGACGTGACGTCCCGAGTCCTTCTTCGTGGCTATCGATTTCTCTTATGGTCGATTCGAGGACGACTGCGGTTGAACGTTACGATAGATTAAAGTTGAGGAACTTTATCCGGGGGTAGTTTTAATCTACAACGGTATACAGATACCGAAACAAGCTATCGTAAGTAAGGGAAAACAGATAAAAAGCGGTGAATTCACGGTGAATTGACGATACGGCGATTGCTTGGAATGAATAGCAAGCGTGCGACTTTTCGTCGGTGGTTTCTGTGAGAGTGCCATTAGCCAGTTGAGTATTTCTCGAACTCATTCCGAGACACCCTGCGAATACTTGTATGCTTCTAATGCCGTACCATCGATCATTATCATTTCACAAATGTCTCTCATTCCTCTCAATTGCTCGTCATGGATCGAGGCTGTCACAATTTCGGCGGGCTCGATGCCGCACCACAAAAATAATGCCTACGTGTCTTGGTTCGTAAGAACGGTAACACGACGCGATTGGCGTAAGGTATCTTTTTTTTCTTTTTTTTTTTGCACCCACAGCACCGAAAATTGTGCTCGCCGAAATCACGATGGTTTCAATCCCCCGCGTATTCGTGCTCCTCCCGCCGAATTTGTCTTGCACGTGTGCGATATTTGACCTAGGCGCGGAAGGCTACAGGGTAACCACCCCCACAGCCACGGAAACCATGTTGCCGTGGAAACGCGAGGACGATTACGAGTCGGGTCACCCTATTAAGCAGAACGAGTTCCCAGCGTGGTGCTCCAACAAGGAATACCTCGCCTACAGCTCGCCCTCGGCCACATTCTTAGGTAAGAGATGGTTAGAGGAAATTTCGATTAATCGTTGAATATTAATTGAGAGATCGTTGCATTTTCCGCGAAAAGAAGCGAAGGGTAGCTCGGAAGACCGTAAAGTCGCGAGACTGCAAAGTCATGCCGGAGAAATAAAGAAAACGATTGTGAAAATTCTCGTCTCAGCGTGACATCGCTGACATGACCTATCCTCGACGGTATCCCGACGTGTCCGTTACGTTTCTGTTTGTCTTTCAGGTGGGATCGAGCAGCCGAAAGTCCAATCCGTGATTGGCCTATTTCGACGCGAGAGCGTGTGCACGCCCGACAGTATCGATTGCCAGGAGACCGTCGAGGAGGCTGACGAGACGGACGAGTACACCGTGACGAAAATGGATTCCCCCACGAAAACGAAGGGTACGTGACGCAAAGCAGAAGGAGGGTACGTGTGTTCTTTTTTATTTTTTCTTTTTCTTTCCCCTTTTTCACCGCGCGTCCGACGAAACGTACTAATCGCGTTCTCTCGCGTTCCCCGTGCCATCGCGTGAGAAGAGCGCCCTTGACCGAGGATGAGATCGCCGGCGCGGAAAAATCGGAACGTTTCGGGAATTCTCGGATGAGCTCGTGATAATCACTACCGTGAATCATTGAACGAATTCAAGACCTGAGATCGTGAAACGATCGCAGCAGTGCGTCGCCAAAAACTTCCAGCACTTTTGACGTGTGTGCTATTTTTTTAACGCGTTCTGACCGGTCCGACATCAGTCGCGCGTCACACGTAGACCCGCGACGTGGCTATTTTCGCGAGCGAGCAATTGCAAAATGAGCATCGACACGCGAGCCGCCCACAATGTGCTAACTGCTAACCGTTTCGCTTCTGAAATATCGCTTCGCGAACGAGCTGCACGGCGGCGCAAATTCCCAGTCGTTAGGGAAACACGATTTCTCCTTCATTAAGTTCCGAATTTCGCTTCGCTCCGACGTCGTTTGAGCGAAAGTAGTCGGAGACATAAACCTTCCGATCTATTTTCTTCATTCTTTTTACTAGAACCGCGCGCCAGTATTTCCCAAATCTTTTCAACCTCTATCTGTTTTAAGTAATCTCGCACATCTTGTGACTTCTTTCGTAGATAACCAATGAGCTTTGAACATGAGTAAACATGCACTAATAATAAACGTAATATACAAGCGTTAACTGTAAATCTGTACTCCGCGAGAGTAGATCCTCGCACGACATTGGCGTTTGCTGCGATATTTGCGATCGCGCCGCAGCGAACATCGACGTCCGCTTTTTAAGTAGGAAATCAAAAAAATTTTGGTTTGATCTGTATTAGCTGCCATTTTTTGCAAGTTATGTATAGGCAAATAGAATTGCTTCAAAAGACGTAATCTCTAGTGTTCTAGATCTGTAAATCTGTATATAGGCAGACCTGAATAGATTTAGAAATACCTACAAACCTATCCGTAAATTTGCAAATGCAAATAATATCTAGACCTGTAGATATAAGTCTGTCGATCCGCAAATCTGAAACCTGTAGCTCCAAGTCAACTCCAAATAGATCTTTGTAGAAGTCAACATGGTAGCCGATTAATGTGTCTTCTCTTTAAAACATATCAGCCAAAGCACCAAAACGGCTATCGAGGGACGCCTACCGCGCTCACTCTCGAGCGCCGAGACGCTTCCTCCCAACTACGACATTCCTACGCCAAACAAATCGTCGATTTCTTTTTTCCAGGCCGCGCGAGAGTGCCCGCGAGGAGAGTGTCGATGCTGGAGCTCGGCACGACCGATCGGGTACACTCGGAGAAGGCGGACGACGGTTCTCACTCCTTGCCAGACTGCTGGAGTGCCCAGAGGATGCGCCTTAACTCGTTCGCCTGCTCAGCCCAGACGCCGAGCCTGTCGACCGCTCTGATCACCTCCTCGTCGGAGTCGTCGGACGACGTGGACGAGGAGGAGGAGAAAGCTTGACCCTTGGGGGTCGTCGAGGAGCAGCAGCAGCCGTCCACGTACACCGCGGACGTGGAGCGTCGGCGACGTCGGCCGCCCCTCCGGCGACCGCCGCGACGCTCGTTGCTCAGCTCGCTCCTGCGACGCCCGAGTGCACCCGTTTGAGAGTACCTACCCTTGACAAGCCGCCCTCTGCGGCGCGGATCTAGCGAGCCTGAGTCGGCCTGAATCGCGTTAATGCGCGCGCAAAACTCAGCGCGCAAGCGACACGTACGAATTTCTCGCGGATCTTTGGGAAAGTAGCGCGAAGGACGATTTCGCGCAAACGGAGATACGCTTTGGAGGGAGGCGAATGTTGAATAGCGATTGGAACGAGAGATATTTTTCTAAAAGCGCAACAATGAGTCTCAATCCGCCACGTGACCGTGCGATCACGTGGCGGATCTCGCTGAAAGAGGAGCTCCTTCCGCTTGATTTCGATATTCTCGATCGCTCGCGATGAAAGTAGCGGAGCGAAGAGAATATATAAGGATGTATATCTTGGAAAAGTGAGAAATTCGAATCGCTATTGTAGCTTCATCCGCACCGCGGAAACGCGTTCGCGAACACGGAGGCGCTTGTTGAGAGCAAGGGGTTATTTCTAAATCCGTCTCTAAAGACGTCGTGGAATCGTGGCCTTAAGGACTATGGAAGTACACTTGGACGCCGACGGTGACGTTATTGTCGTCGTCGTCGGCACAAAATTCAATATTGTCGGTGCTATCGGTGGAACAAACAAAGAGAGAAGTCTCGTAGATATCGTTGCGCGGCGGTGAGTGCGCCGCCGGCTTGTCGTAAGGCTTATTATCACGAGTACCTTTTCTCGGTGGTTGATCCGACGGCCAGCTCGCACCGCGACCGAGTCGTTCGGCCATCGCTGCTGTGCGCCTCGCGACTACGGGCTACGGTCGGACCATCGACTCGATCCAGCTCACAGTGACCGGGTTTCAGTCAGCGTGAAAGTCCAGAACTGTCTAGCGCTGGAACATCGTTAAACATTCACGCTGTAATCTTCTATGAGATGATCTAATTTTCAGATTTAACTTTCAGATTTAATTTCTGATTTGATTTACCTTTTAAGTCAATGTGTGGAATTCTTCGTTCCGCAGTGCTATCAGGGGCTTGTAAAGGTTCGTTGAATCGTCGATGACTTCATCACAAGATGAGATGTTTTGCAGATGTGGAATTATCAGACCTGAAGGATGATAGAAAATGATGGATAACGAATACTTTGATTGAACTTCGAAGTGGCGTGTATAACAGCACCCCAAACAGCACAGATCTCCACAGGACATCCTAAAGACATTCTGAGAACGTTCCCAGGACATCCCCTGGAGATTTTGTGCTGTCTGGATACTCCTTGGTATTAACTAAAATAAGAAGAATACGGCTAAAAATCCAACCAACCTTTGCAAGCTCCCAATATTCTTCATGAGAGGAATTCTCTTTCCCGGTGAAATAATCGCATCTCTTGTCTCAGTGTGGAACGTTTCTACCCTTCTAGGTTGTATCTGCAAAGGGACGTTCATCAAGTCATTAATTATCGGTACCGCGGTCTGGTCGTAGTCGATCCGACTACGTAATTTGAGAAATAGCTAAAATGATAAGTGAAATAAGAATCGAAACACAATTAGGCAATGAGTCGCACGTTTCTGATCGCGGCCTGATCGCTCGGAAACGTGCGCTCTTTGTTAACGACGGAGCGAGTCGTTAAACTGACCACAGTTTCTCGCAGACGAGAGTTTAGCGTTAGACGTGTACTATCGTTAGCGGTCCTGTTGTCGCGGTTCTAACGTATGTAAGTACTTATGTACAAACGCACGCACGCACGCACGTAAGCAGGCCAACGCAGCACATCGCGGTGCGCATAGACAACCCGTAGCGACGCATCCCCAGTCGAATTTAGGAAATTTTCTTCTGAACGCAAATATTTGCACGCCGTTCAGGTCGACGATTCGGTGTCGCGACGAGCTCTCTCAATTTCTTCGAGCGAAATTGCTCTGCTTTTCACGCGAAAAGCAGAGCAATGTACCGAATCACTCCAAGTCGAGTGACTACTCGCGCTCGTACACCCTCGAATTCTTCCGCTCTGAATCGTCGAGTGAACATTTTCATTCGCAACTGTAGAGTGAACTCGACGTGCTCCACCATTACTGACAACAAATCCAATCGATTGCAACATTCACTCGCGCAAATGAAGAGTCCAAGGATAAATGAAACGTTCACTCTTGCGATTTCGAGCGGCGATATTTTCGCTATCGCTTCGAGCGAATTTTCGCTCGTTTCCGGTGAGGTCTCGCTCGAAAGAGTTCAGAGAGAACGCGCGCGCGCGAGAACGAGACGGGAATAGAGGAAGATGCGTACACAAAGCGCGCCGAGAGTATGGCCTTAACATTTTCATGCAAACCGATTATTCGCGAGTAATGATCCAACGTACGGCGCGCGATGTGTGTGTACGTGCAGTGTTAATAAACAGCCAGAGCGCTCTGCTGCGCGACTCATGTACTTATAGCGAAAATTACAGAGGCGTGTACATACATATAGGTTTTTTCTTAGAGAAGATTAATACTAGAGAATTCTCTAGAGCATCATCCTCATCGTCATCATCCTCGACAGCATTCTCATCCTCGCTGTTTTTGTTATGGTCTGCTATTATTTCGCTATCGGCGAACAGAAAAGAAGGCAGAAGCAAGGGGAAATTGAAGAGAGCGAGACAGGAGCGAAAACAGAGAGAGAAAGAGAGAGAGAGAGAGAGAGAGAGAGAGAGAAGCGGAATGTGACCACTCTAGAGAGCATCCTTTATTCTAGTTACTATTGTTATTCTTGTTACCGTACCGTTAGTACGTGACTATACTAGTTCTCTGCTGCGCTAATATTAATAACGCGATCGTAGCGGCAGCTCGACGCGCGCGGCGGAATGCAGCAAGCGTCGAGCACGAGCTAGTTTCCGAGGGGAACGTCGTCGGGAATTCTTCAATGTAATCATGCGGATGACGCGCGTTATTTGACGACACACACACACACACACACACACAAATACACACAGCGATTATCAAAATCGAGAGATGGAACGGCTGACGTATATATTCCAAGCTCGCAATAGCGAGAGAGCATTGCGATCTCTTCCTTTGTATGATCCTCTTCTCACATACGCCACTTGTATACACTTACAGCACGAGATTCAGAGTCAATTTTATTAGCGCCGTAATTAGCTTAGGATTTAAACGGACGAAATGAACAAGTGAGCAACCGGGCCCATTTTACCCCGAATTTTATTCGTCGGGGACCTTGCGCGACGTTTTTATACGCTTATACTTCCTTCCGGATCGCATTGTGCCCGCGGAGCAACTTGATTTGTGACATACTCATGACCTCCGGAGTCACACCGCGAGTCACACTACCTGCATCTACACAGGAATGAGACAGGGTATAAGTTCACTTTGTTAAAGAAAGCAGAGGAGAGAAGCAACGAAAGAAAGAGAAAAAAGAAGACAAAAAAGGGAAAAAAGAGGGAAAACGGAGGGCTTCCTCCGCGATGACAGGCGTGATTATCGTGAGAACAATTTTTGCACGGATTTGGGACTTCCCCTCGCATGGAAATATTCCTCGCGGCCTTTAGTTACTTAGACCGGAATAAAACGTCGGACTAGTCTCTAGACGCTAGTCTCTACGCTGTTGATTTGTTAAAATGAAAATAAATGTTTATTTCTTAAAAGACCGTTAAAGACCGACATCTTCATTTCGCTCACCGTCACCTCTCGCTGTCGTCCGTTCACTTCGCGCGCTTCCAAATCCTTTCCTTCCTCAAGTATCACTATTTTCACCAACAATCAACACTTTCATTTCCAAAGTGTTATCGCGAAATTTTCTATGACAAATTCCTTCGTTTCCCTCCGATTATCTCGAATAGTGTGTGATAAAAATCATGATTGCATCTATGCAATTTTCGAGCCTCTTCCTCGAACATGTCCAATATCACGTTCATTGCGGAGGTGGCGTCGAAGACGTCGTTATTCGTCCAACAATTACGAGGCGGACAATAAAGTGATTATCGTCAGCTAATGAAACTGGTAGACCCTCGACCTTCAGCAGATCGCTCGGCGGGACGAAGTAAAACAGTCTTGGCTGTCACACACAACCGTTCACGCGAACGATTCTCGTCCGAAGTCGCCGATCGCGGAACAAGCATGCCCGGCGGCGTCGTCTTCTTGGTCTGCATACCCACCTTGAGTTACGAGCACGAGCTTGTGTTTGGCGTGCCGTTGAAGCGTTCCAAGAAGACCGAGAGGAGCAAGAGTAAAGTCGCTATACCCGTCGGGCCGAAGGTGGATCTGCGTCTGAAGGAAGTGAGATCGCACCCACAGCTGCTCACCTTCGATAACGGCCATTACGACGATGACGATGACGACGACGACATCGGTATTGACACCAGGAGACAACGCGCTCGAGGATACTCCGCGCGAACGAAATCGCCAGTCTTCGTGTCGATGGAAACGGTAGAATATATCAGCTAATGAGTGTTCTATCCTGATATATTTTTCTGATGAAACGCCCTCATATTTAGAACGTTTTTTTATTGTGACTTATGTATCATTTGTCTAATATTTTCTATTGCCTATTTTTCAATTCTTGCTTTTCCTCTGTTCTGCGTTTTCTTATCTTCCTTTTATCTTATCTTTTATCTCTTTCTATTGCCTATTTTCAATTCTTGCTTCTCTTTTCTACATTTTCCTATTTTTCTTTTCTCTTAACGTTTTCCTTTTTCCTTTATCCTTTGCGTTATTGAATTCCTCGTTCATTCTACAAGGGTCTTTTCTCCTCGTAAATAAATGATTAAACGATTAAACAATCGTTTAATCAAGTTGAAGCTATGTTTTATTATGAAATTATGCAATATAGAATTATGATCTAATTATAAAGACACGCGAGTCATATGTTCAAAATCCGTAGGTTCTGGACGAGCTCCTAAAAAAGCTGAAGGTGGAGCACGTGGTGTGGTGCAAAGATAAAGAAGATATGTATTACGAGGTAAGATCAGGCCCGTTCACCAATATTTTCTCGCGTGTATCCTCTCGAACATGAACGCAACGAGAAGTTTTTAATGAAAGGTGATCTTTCCGGTGCCCGCTGGTGAGCCCTGCGAGAATTGCATACACTGTCTGACCGAAATGGGTATCGGAGTCAAGATGAACTCGATCGTAAGGTGATATCATGCTGAGTTCGCGCAAATAACACCAGCGAGTTCGTATTACTCTGGTATTATATAACATCGTCGATTTCTTTTAGCGTGATCCCGACGCAGTGTACGTACAGCGGTGTGAACGCTACAGGACCACCAGCTATCAAGGACGACGATATTCGCAGGTTCGCTTGATCGGTTTTGTTAATGCATGGAAAAGGAACCTCGGTTCGTGACGAACAAAACGGGAACCAGACGAAAACTCGGTGACGAGGAGCGATATCTCCGTTATCGCGACTGAAAATATTCGACTGCATTAAAACTCGGTTGAGATAACAGAGACAACAAAGTTAGTTGACTGTGTGAACAGAAATCTCCTGCAGGAATCTTTCTGCTCTCATAACCGAGTTTTCGTCTAGTTTCTCAGATAACAGAAAGGAAGTTCATTCACAAACTAAATTTTATTTCCGTGCACGTTGACTGCCACGGTGATTTTCATAAATTGCTCCAAAGTTTAATCCAAGTTTGAATAACTAAAGTCACGGTAAATATATATATATATATATATATATATATATATATATATATATATATATATATATATATATATATA